CATATCATTGCTTATTTCTTTGCTCCATCCCAATCAGCTGGGGTTACTCAACTCCTATGTGCCATGTCGCCCCGTTCTCGCTTTACACCCCTCTCGTACTCGCCATTTGCACAAGTATTCTTGGCCACTATATTTTACCGGCACACGGGCCTCGCCAACGCATACTGAATCTTAGGCACGCGTGTATTCTCCATCGCAGCCATACTAGAATCGCACTGTATAGAAGGGGCCACAAGTAACCAGGTGTCTAATTGTTGTACCGATCAGCTACCATTCAGATGTAATTCTATTATGGTTGCGATGACGCTCCTTCTTTTGTTACGTCTGGATGGCAAGTTTACCTGAAGTCTCTCCTCATCCTTATTCCAGAGGCATGGAAAACGCTGACTGAACTAACCTGATTGGCGTTAGCCAGCGGTATGTAGTAAAAACCGGCCATTGCGAATGAAAAGCACTTTTGCATTCTCAAATTGATCGGTATTTTTGCTTGGAAGCGCCCTAGCGATAGCGATTTTGGTTGTTATAACCATTGGGTTCGACTTTACCTTATTCAGAGAAGCATTAACGAAAACAAAAACGAACGATTCCGTAAGTTGAAAGCGTGCATTCACATACTCAGTCCTAACATTACGGAACCTCCTAAAACTTTGCAGTTTATTCATAGTTACCCCGCATGCTATCATTGCCACCTAGCCAGTGGACCTAACATTCGTCAGGATGTTCTATTATTTGCGTTCTTGGATTACCACAAACTTTCTGCTGGAAAAGTTTGCAATTACTTGGCGCTACTTTATGTATACAGCATAATCACCCCGTCAGTGGGCGGATTGTTGCCGCATACCGCCTTGCTCGAAACGATTGTCAATTATATCCGATGAATTCAGGATACGTAAACCCCTAGACCAACCAGCGAAAAACTTTGTTTGGTTTTTTCTGCTACTGAGGCAAACTGGTGACTCGCCTACAGCTACAACATCTTGGGGATCCTATGCCTTCGACTAGCAACGCTGTTGTCGAACAGATTACCACGAATCTTGACACAGTTACTCAGAATAAAGCCAGGCGATAAGCAATTCATTGTATCCACTATTAGCTATGTGTCTGCTTCCCAAACCAAAGCTGAAGGACTCTCGAGTATCACTGTTCAACCTACAACGCAATTACTGTATAAATTCTCTCTTTTATGGGCATGCTTTTAAGAGCCCGCCACGCATATTCGAGAGTAAAGGATCTCTTTTTAATTTGTTATTTGTAGTAACCACTGAAATAAGCCTCACACTGGCTTTGTCAACGCTCAATCTTGGGAACAGTTTAATGGATGCCCACATCAGCCCAGGCACAGCGTCAAATATTGCGCAAATCCTCATGCCTTCCGCCGTCCCGTTGAAGCCATGTAAAGCGGGTTCGATATGTTAAACACAGTGCCAATGCATTAAGGACACCCACAAGGTATATGAAATATGCGACGGAGGCTTCAGAATTCCTACCCTAACAGTAGGCTGCTGCATGCGTTGTAACCAGCCCCGCAGGGGCCTCGACATTAATGAACTCACCCACAACGTTTCGGGCAACTATTAAGTTCATGCAAAAAACCTTAGCAAAGGTCCTCCCTGCGGTCGACTGGCTCCGCATGCAGTGTCAGTGACTTAGTAGGGCTCCTACGAACATGCATTGCAGCTGTTGTTTTATCTACAGCGAAGCTTCCTCGAGTGCTAACCCCCAAATGAACTGGCCATATTTCCAGCGTGGCCTACTCTAACAAGTCGCACCCAGACATATACGCAGTGAAGGCCCAAGGAAATGGAAAAATAACCACAGGTGTTTAAAAAATGTAATGAGCATGCATATATACATAACTACGCTCGCATGCTCACATGTTAAGTGAGCAGGTTTGCACAGAACCTCCGTTAATGTACCTTTGAGGAGACGCAAGTGCCGCACGATGCTACACCACTACACGTCGCAGTGAGGCCGCAATTACGCAAATACCAGCCGAAATCAGTAGTAAAACCGCACTCTCAACAGCATTTCATTTTTGCGCGTCGCATTCATTGCTGGTCACATTGTACACTGTTGCAACCTTCTGTTCCGAGGTGACCAGCACCTGATTGTTGCTACCGAAGCTCGTACACACCGCATGTGAATCCCTCCACCTGTGAACTCTCGGGTAGGCCACCTTACTCCTGGGGTCATAACGAACACAGAGCACTGTCATCCGTTTCCAACTACTTCACAATCTTTCGCAGTTTGGCTGGCCTCTATTCACCGACGAGGTCATCGTGTACAGCCGTTTAACTTTCACCGCAACGTGCATTGTGGAAGCAGGTGGCAAGTCTGTTAAACGTGGGACCAAGAGCACTTTCCTCTACGCTGATCACACCTTCCGCTTCTCATGCATGTTCAATGAATCACTGAGCCCTGAAGCTCTTTCCCAGAGCTGAGACTTTCATAGCACGCTTCGGCTGCCAATATATACATTCACGCCGATTCCCGTCCGCCTGCTCAATACATCCTGGCAAGTACCTTTTAAAGTTCCACATTCTCATCACAAACAAGCGCAAAGAGTACCACGTGCTTCAGTACCCAGTAACTTCCTTTTTACTGAACCTCAAATCCTCAAGCATTCGCGGGGACATTAATAGACGTGCGTACACCATCGTGCCCATGCTACACAACGGTGTAGTTAGCTCCGCCACGCAACTTCGCCGCAAGGTCCACCTGCGTAGATTGTATTTCTATCGGTTCCTAATGCAAACCCAGCTCGCACCCATTTAAACGGTGGTTGGTAGGCCCACAAGACAAGTTGGGGTAACGGTCCTCCAGCAACCTTCAACTGCGCCGTCTAGTTTCTTCCCTATCATGTTAGAAACGGGACATATGTCAGCACAGGTTATACGCGATTGTCGATTACATTCGCACGAGCATGTGTAACCGTGCCCCCTCTATCGCCAAGTAATAAAAAGCTTGAGCAACGCATCATCCAGCTAACTACATGATTTGAGGCTTATTAGATTGGCACCTTTTGAAACAATTGCGAAAAACGAACGCGAGCGTAAGGCAGCGCGCGAACAAGTATGGGCGCAGCAAACGACTAATCCACAGGCCAAATGTACGGTGTCATAACACGTTTAAAATTCGCAGGCTTACTTTGCTGCATGCATACGGCCACCCGTGCAACAATTAGGCTGAACAACGTCTTCAGGGTAGATGTCACTCTGGGGTGCTCATTTGACAGCTTGATGACGTTCTTTACGCGATTCGTCATAGCGCAGTCTAACATTCGTGCAGAACAAAGGCGAGGTGGTGCACATGATGTGGTACACCGAAGCCCTGTTCTCAACAACCGTCCGTGACCTGCTCTATAATGTTATGCACATGCATGTAATATACTTTCAAATCGCTTAGCGTCCCGGATGTAAACCGAAGTACGCATCCACTGACACATTCGACTGCTCTCTAATTCAGGAGCTCCAATCAAATGCGAACAACTGCATCTTATATCATGCAACATGCGAAAAGGAAAAAAACTCAACTGCATACGGGTAAACCGATCTAACCGCATAAACTGGTGCGTACCGGTTTTCCGTTAAATGCATCCGTACAGACACAGTGCTTGGGACAGATCACGCATTGCTTGTGCGGCCTCCCGGTAGTTTCCATACGTCGAAATGGATAATTTAGAATAAAAATGATAGCGTCTCCCCGGATAAGTCCACCAGCATGCAGTGAAATGCAACGTTGCTACCATAGTTTAACTTATGCGTGGCGTCAGAATAATGACCCCAACACATTTTTGCAGCACGAGCAACATTATGGGAGTCACAAACACGGTGGTCGAATGTGGCCACCATCAATGACAACCAAGCATTTTCCAATCTTTTTCAACAACAGCATCCCTTCACTATCTATGTGCAGGTTACGCCCCATGCTCGTTCGTTTTTACGCTGTTTCAACTATTTAAATCATCATATTTGCTTCACTTATATTTCACTACACCAGTGTAACTCGTCCACATATTCTGTGCAACGATAGTCGGACGTATGATCGTTGTTAGGAAAGTTGAGTAGATTGATACTCATAATTTACCGCTTATTTGGTTTCTCCATTCTACAAACGCAGTCGTTGTATGCTGCCTGCCATACAGCAAAACGTCTGCATAGGCAGCTGCCGCGCTCAGACTTTTGGATTCGTGGGTGTAAAGACCAGGAAAATGGGCAAGTTCGGATGGTGGGTGGTACCTGCACCAGGGATTAGGGTTAGGTTCCTTTTACCCTACATTAGAAACCGGATTCCAAATTGTTCGATGATATTAATGAGGATTATAAACAAATAGTATAGTAACGTCAGGGTAACACTGGCATTCACGCTCTCGGTTCTTCACTCGCGTAGGTCATAAATTCCAACGTCAGGGGAACTTATAACAAGTAATAGGTTAATTGTAACAGCAATTAACGTATATTGCGTTAATTCATAGTAGGAACAACAACAAATTGAAGTATCTGTGACAACAACTAGTAGACCGAATACGCTTCCGTCAAATTTGCGGGTGTGGACAGATGGGGAATACGGGCGCGGTTGCGTGGTGGGTAAAACCTACTGCCATGACTGGAGTTAGAATCGATATATCCTCCTTTGAAAGCCTAGAATAAAAAGAAGCTTTTTAAAACGGAAATGCGCATATATCTAAACGTAAGGTTAGGATTATGGTTATACAAAGACAATGACACTACTTCTCATTCGCACAATTTATTACGACAACAGGGGAGACTTGAAATTGATCTTGAACACCTGCAAATAACAGATTAACTATATAACGGCTTAACACAACATACTTTGCCTTTGCATAACAAGAATGATTACGAATATAATTATATATGGAGCTTTCACTGGTAGATTTGGACCACACCATAGAAATTTTAAGTTCCCGAAAATCCACCGCTCACTCTCCCGCCCCTCTGTTGGTACAAAATTCCCGCTGACGTGTCGCACGCCCGTTTCTTATGCTGCCACGGGTATATCGACCTAGCAGGATTCGGCGTGCCACTGACCTAGTTTTCAAAGGTGCAGTGCTCACCTGCGTCGGCATTACTGTTGCCGGAACCTTGTTCACCGTTTCAGCCCTTGCGAAGTATTACATTTTCGACAAACCAGTGAACTCTCGCCAACGTCGGGAATATTTAGAGGCCATTCTTAGGAAAGAAAAGCGCGAAAAGGAACTCGGTCTTCGGGACTGACATTCGTCGCCCGGTTGTCGTATGCGGGCTTATCATTTAAATTTGTTCAAACCGTTTTCTGCGCTGAGCACATCCACTGTTTCTTTTGATATGAGCGTGGCGTTGAAACGACCAGCTCCTCCCGAAGAGGCTTGTCCTACTTCCACGAAAATTCCCCAGCTAGAATTTGATCCATCAACTCGGTGTAAAAAGAAAATGCACGCATTGCTCTTAATGTATTGCGGTTGGGACTACTACGGGATGCAGCGGTAAGCTACGCACTCACCATCTACTCTGTCGTCCCTTTTGCCTTGTTACTCACCTTAGGTAGAATGCACTTTCGGTTTTACGGGGCAGCTAGATTTTTGACAGATTCCCTTGTCCTAGCGATCTTACTTCCGGTTGAATATTTGCATTTTCCCGTCGCACTTCTCATCGCTACATTCTGCTCTTGCATGCCAATTTTCACCATTCATATTTTACAGTGGGACGATAAACCAGCCAATAAAGATTAATTGTAGGACTCTATAGATAAACAACTCATCTAACGTCCTTAGTAAGTCATCATGGTTTGGGGCATCGGATCAACCGGTGGCTCCTTGATTCATCAACTATACCGATTTCTTGCCCGTGCTTTTCGCAAATCTCACGTGAGATTGGCTGTTCGCTTATACTACTACTGTGAATTCTGATTAAAATTAATACTGGGGTTCAGCACAAGATGGCCCGTGGCGGAGAGGATTCTATACCTGCATTGTAATCCTCAGTGTTGTGTTCTTGGTGTCCTTCAGTCAGCCATGATGTCAACCTACGGTGGGTGAGAAGACAAACAAGCACTGATGGAAGTCATATCTCTGAGTGGGAATGTCCGGAGAGATTGAGCGTTGTACGGTGCAAAGGGAAGAGCGTCGCAGTCCAGAAAAGGATCAGTGACGAGCTAAAGTGGAGGAAAACATAGCTGTAGTTAATGAACGTGTCAACAAATGGAATGGACTCGTTTGGGGGCATCCCTCCCAACACCCAGGTTGCCAGTTCGAATCAGTGTAGGTGCGGGCGACCTCACGGTATACCCAGCACTCGCGCGAATCGCCGTCGCGCAGCAGCTAAAAGTCGGCACGGTGTGCTGCTAGTGTACTTTTTCCGCACGAACTGACAACCATCCGCTTTATGACTTGCTCGTTAAGTATTTCAAGTTCAGGTGAGATATGAACCATAGTAATATCCCGTAAGTGTTCGTTTTTAAGGGGACCATTAGACCTGAATTGCTCTAAACTCTTGGTAATTCTAGGATTAAATACCCTAACTACACCCTGCTCGTCTAATCAGTGCCCACGTTTCCTAGGTTAGCGGTCCATACTGTGCCGGTCATTCGAAATAAACGGAAGCTAAGAAAATAACTATTAGTTAAAGAGGGAACGCACGTCTTTGTGAGTCAGGCTATTCACTCAAAGACTCCAAGCAGTCTGTCATGCAAACTTCCATACCACCCACTGCCTTGGGGGTCAGACTATTTAGCCAATTGCTCCCGGCGGAGTACTTCAAGCAAAACTCCATACCACTCACTGCCTTGTGGGTCAGGCCGTTGAGCCAAAGGCTCCGGGTGGAGTACCTCAAGGAAACCTCCGAAGCACAACCGCCATCTCGAGTGCGATTGCCCACCAATGCAATGGTATGCCTGCGTACAAAACACAGCCTCGGGTGCTGGAACGTGCGCACACTACTAGACCGGAACTCGAGTGAATGCCGCGAGCGACGCACTGCACTGGTTGCGATGGAACTGGCGCGCTACCACATCGATATTGCGGCGCTCAGTGAAACTCGGCTCGTTTAGCAAGGTAAGTTGCATGAAACAGGTGCTAGCTACATTCTGCTGGGTGGGACAGGTCAGGTCAGATAAAACGGACGAGAGGCCTTCGCCTAACGAGCGTCCAGTTTCTTGTGCCGGTAAGTGAAGCGGCCCCCGGCACTTCGACGTTGGATTGACTTCTTGCTTCTGTAAAGGGGTGAAGCAAGAATAAAAGCCATCTTTGCAATTGCATGTGTCAGCATCAAAAGACACTACATATTCTAAAACAATTTCAATATCTCTGGCAAATGGACAAACCAACACTCATCTGAACCCCTTTTGAAGGCTTCTACAGACTCATTCCACATGTTAACTACTCGGTTCATAAACATTTTTGCCCTGATGTCCAAACGAGCTCTATGTTGTTTGAGTTTCAGGCCATGCCCGCGCAGGTGGTCTGACATAGCTAATTCAAACAGATGGGTGGGACTAATACCACTAAGTCCCTTAATGATCTTAAACGTCTCTATCAAATCCCCTCTCAACCTACGCCGTTCCAAGAAAAATAATCCCAAGCTACTTAGACGATCTTCCTACGACTTCCTTCGTTAACCTTCGATCATCCTGGTCGCAAGTCTCCGACTTTTCTATACACATGGCGTCACTACGGAGGTACGGTGCCCAGGACTGAACACAATACTCCAGAAGTGGCCTAACCACTGCTTTATGTAACGGCAAGAATACTTCTGCTTTAGTGTTACTCAGCGCCCTCCTAAGACGAAATAACTTGTCGTGCTTTGTTGGCAGCACGGCGACACTGCGGAGGGCTTCAAATTGTTCACTATGATGACACCTAGGTCGCGGGCTTCATCAGTACACCGCAATGATAGAGATCGCGCAGGAGACAACTGCAATTCTGCTACCACTATTGGCCAATAGCTGGCATTTATTGGCATTCAGAGGTAGATCCCATTGGCTGGACCAATTAACCACAGTGATTATGTCCTTAGCCAATGTCGCTCGTTTTCCCCTACTGACTAGCTTTAAGTCATCTGCGAAGATATAGCAGGGATCCTCAAGAAGAGGAGCCAGGTCATTTATAAACATAAGAAACAGCAATGGACCCAGTACCGAACCTTGGGGGACACCGCTGTAGGCATGACCCACACTAGAACTCACTTTCCTAACCCTGACTAAATGTCCCACGTAAGAATTCAGAGAGCCACAGTAATAGTTGAGGATGCAATCCAAACCATATCAGCAAAAGCTCGAAGTGCTTTTGCTAACCTTCGCCACCTATGGCGGCGGCGCGACATTACTCTCGCCCTGAAGGGTAGAGTGTACAATGCAGCGGTACGTTCAACCCTACTGTACGGTTACGAAACCTGGCCCCTAAGATCGGCGGACATAAAGAGGCTAGTTACGTTCGACCATCGGTGCCTTCGCAGTTTGGCTCACATCTGCTGGGAACACCGCGTGAGTAACGAGCGTGTTCGACGCCTTGTTTACGGCACAGAAAAAGGAACTGAACCGCTCAGCACCGTCATTTCTCGCACCAGGCTCCGATGGCTGGGCCACGTGTTGCGCATGCCAACCCTCCGACCTCCACGACGTGCGTTGTTTGCTCACCTGGGAGGTGGATGGAAGAAGAGGAGGGGTGGCCAAGCGATGACTTGGTCGAGAGGAATGAAGGCCCTCACTTCGGAGCTGGCGTCGGTTGGAGCGTCACGGCTCCCTGCATGGGATCCAAAAGACGGTGAGCACGTTTGGCTGGATACACTTGCTGACATGGCAAGGAGCCGACCTCAGTGGCTTTTTTGCCGTGAGTTCTTTTATCCCTCCCCATCTCTTTCAGCCTCCCTTTCCACCTACGATCTCATTTCTTAGCGTAAAACAATAATTTTTCTTTTTTCCTAGTAGCCGGCTGGTAGCTTACCGGAACGATGCCTATCCCTTGCTGGTAGCTCAGCTGGCATGCAACTGTATTTATTTTCCTTTTCCTTTATGTATTGCGGTACAGTAGCTGTGTTTCCCACCTCTAGCTGACGTGTATAATGAATAATGAATATCAGCTTCTCGATTAAAAATCGATGATTCACTGAGTCAAAGGCTTTACTGAAGTCCAAACAGCACACCTACCGACATCCCGCTGTCAAGACATCGGGTAATCTCATTTAAAAAGCACAATGAATTGGTAAGATACGACTTTTTAAGAAAGCCATGCTGTTCCGCTTTAATTAGATTGTGCTCAGTCAAGTGCTTGCAGATCCTATTATAAGCTTTTCCAAGCACTTCAGCATGACTCTGGTCAAACTAACAGGTCTATAGTTAAGATGCACCGACTTAGAACCCGCCTTGTGAATGGCAACAATGGTCGCCTCCTTCCAATCACATCGCAGCTTGCCTTCTTGTAGAGACTAGTTAACTAACTCCGCGACAGGATAATGAAGGATATCAGCCGGCGGCTTAACTATGGCGGGATGTACACTGTCAGGACCAGCTGATTTCTAAGGGTTCAAACTGTCCAGCATTGTGAAAACCTCTGGCACATTGAGAATAATTTCCCGCATTGTATAACTACTTCAACAGTGCGGCTGTGATGGCAAAGCTGGCCCACTGTTCTTCCGATGCAGATTTTGGTAGACACTTAGCAGCGCTTCTATTTTATCGACGTCGTCTACAGCCTGGATGTCGTCCTCCATAGTTAGACAACCGACCACCTCTCGTAGAGAAGCTTTTGATTGGACATAACTGTAATAACACAGGATTTGTTTTTGAAAATTTGGCCAACCTAAGCTCATATGAGTACTTCGCCTGCCGCTGCAACTTAATAGCCATGTTTCGACACCTTTTGTATTGCAGCCAATGTCGGAAGCCCCGAGTTTCTTGATATTTTTTCCACTCAGCAATGCGCCTCTTTATCGCTCAGTCAATCTTTCTCCTCCACCATCGGGCTTTCCCAAGATGTCTCCTGAGGCGTAGAAGAGCAAATTCGTTCAGGAACTGCACGAGCCCACTTTTGAGGCGAAGCCACCTCTGTTCCAAAGTGGCCTGGTCCTGTTCAGGGATCCAAGTGATTTGAATGGCTCGATCCCGCAGTTTCGTAAAATCAATACGATTTAAATCCCTTCCCATTCGACAGTTCTCCGCAAGCCTCGGTGTGCCCAGAAAAAAGATCAAAACGCAGTGATCACTCTTACCTATGCTTGGCTCCACCCGTAGGTCAATCAAGTGAGCATGTCTGGCGATCACGATATCAAGGGTTGAAGGCGTCTCCCAGTACAACTCCTGGTCGGAACATTGACGTATTGCTCAAATGCATTTTCATGCATCCAGTCCACTAATTCCTCCAGAGTACCCGCCCTATTTTCAGTAAGCTGCCAATCAGCATGGGGAAGGTTTAGGTCACCGACGATCAGCAAATTAGGTGCGGCCATTGCCGTTTGTCTTAGTAATATACCAAGATCCTTGTGCTCTTCTCGCGTGGAGCATGGGCTACGATAAACACGTACTATAATCTCCAATCTACCCCTTGCTCTTAGATAACAGGATACCACCTGAACGTTAACGGAACTCATGGTAAATGGTGCCTCCCAGTGTTTATATTGGCACTTAATAAGCAAGAGTACTCCTCCACCTGTCTGAAACCCGGGCTTATCAGTTCTATAGCACGCGAAGTCTATAAGCACATTACTAATAAGTTCGTTTAGAGAAAGCCAGGACTCCGACACAGCGGCCACATCAACATGCTCACAACGCGTCACTAACTCTCCCGATTTGTTACGCACATTACAACAATTAGTGTACCACACGCTTAGCCTCTCCGGACGCGGTTGTTTCCCCTCGGACGTAGAGCCGGACGGGATAACCCGTTTTTTGTACCATTTCATTCCCGTCGGCTGGCTGTGTCGGTGAAGCTACGGTGGGCTGTTGTAAAGCATTACGGCATAATCCCTTTGTTGGCTTCACCCGCCTAGGCTTGCTGAATAAACTCCCTACGGGTTTTCTCCCATTTAACTGAGTCGGCCTACCAGCACTGCACTTCGGGTTCTCTATACGGTCCAGTTTAGGTGCTGCAAGTTTTTGATTTTTTCTACTATTGTGTGAAACGGTCATACCAATCATGGACTTTGGTGCCACTGCCATCGAACGTGAGGATTCCGTTGTTTTGACCGCACCGCCTAAATTTCTATTGCCACACCTTCAATACCCTTTTCAGCCATAGTGGTGTGGTTCGCATTTCCAGCATTAGAAACTTCCCCACAAGCAAATGCAAGCCGCGAGTTGTTTCACTGGCGCCTTGTGGGGGGTGCTGTCCAGACCAGGTGACTGCACGCCACAGGAGAGCAGTCGCCAGCGGTTTGCTTAGGTATCTCAGTAACGTGAGGTTCACTATCGCCAATTCCAGCGTGCGAGACCGCAGCTTTGTTAGTTAAGCTGTCATTAGTACGTTTTAACCTGCGCATCCGAGGGGCTTTAGCCTTCATAGTTAGTTTGTCCGGTGCTATTTGATACCGACCACTTGTCTGACTTGCAACCAACCAAGCCCTGTTAAGTAGTAGGTGCTGGTGTACAGGGTTCCTTAATGCAACCAGGATAGACCTTGCATAACCTTGTTGGCGAAGCATACCTGTTTCTCTCCAGCTGCCAACACGATGTACTCTTTTGATACCGACGTATAACGGTATTTCGGCTATGCGAAGGATATCATGCACTCGCCTTATATCTAGGTCCCGTCAAGTTTTAGCTTCCCGTATGACTGGCTCCTTTCTATTGTAAATTAGAACGTTTCGTTGTCTACCCATAGCAAGTTCTGCACTTCGCAAGTAACATTCCAATGAAGACTGCAACTCATCGACTTTTAAACGTAATGTTTCAGTTAGCAAACTGGGGTCACGAATCAACTTTTCCACGATGTCTGGTCTATGCACACAGTTCCTACCAGCAGCATCATGTACAGCTGAGACATGAGTAATTGGATCAAAAGTCCGATCGTGTATCAAGCGAGAACAAGTGCCTGCTAAGCACACACAGTGGAAGCAAATCCACTTTAATTGGGGATGTCGGGCATAAAGATCAATAGAGTCCTGATCTAATCTAGAGCAATTGTTATGGTACCATAACAAACATCTGTCGCACTGAATTCCCTCTTTGACCTCAACGCCACAAGTGTGCTCACCACATTTATAGCCAGCCACCGATGTCATTGCGAAGAGTACGTAACAGCCACGTGTAAACTAATGAAAAGCTAGTTAGTTTGGCTGGATTAAATGTCCAAACTGGTGCAGGTATGACGGCGTAAGATGAATAAATAGTAACAAGTTACTACGATAGAATATACAACTATATTAATACAGTAAACACAGTGAATTAATACGACCAAATGGAACACAAAGAGAAGCAATACTGGAACGAACTCACGCGGTTCACGAAGGTCCAAGATATCTTGGGCAACGCAGCCTCAGCACCACGTGAACATGGGGTCAGCTTTGCAATATCAGATCGTTTACATGACCAGCTGGTGCGTGAACCAACAGGCATCAGCGCGCGACTGATGACTGCTCGTCTACGACTCGGAAGAGATAAGTTTGCCCCTTTTATAAGCACGTACGGTCCGACCATGTGTTATCCTGATGACTCGCGTGATCAATTCTACACTGAGCTATCCTCCGTGATACGGTCAGTGCCGAGGAGCGACCGACTATTTCTGCTGGGTGATTTCAACGCGGGCGTTGGACATGATACATGGGTGTGGTCAAATGTTATCGGTCCGCATGATATTGATCCTGCGAATGCGAACGGTGATAGGCTGCTCTCACTGTGTGTCACTCACGGCCTGACGATCACGAACACTCGGTTTGCACTGAGTGCGAATGATATAACAACTTGGACGCACCCACTTAGTGCTCTGGCTCACCTGCCCGAATATGTCATCGTACGTCAGCGTGATATGCGTGAAGTGCGCATGACACGTGTACTGCATGGAGCTGAGTGTGGCATTGATAATAAATTGGTGCGGACCAACCGTTCAGAGCTCGACTGGCCTACATTGAATGGCCTCAAGCAGCACGAGTTGGTGATGAGTCTGACGGACAAGCCGACACTGGATGAAACGCAGAGAGCACTTGCTCAACTGCGAAATGGCAAGTGTGCCGGTACCAACGGGATCCCGCCTGAAGTATCCAAACACGGCGGACCCGCGTTGGTGACTGCGCTGCACCACTTGGTGCACCGCGTGTCGATTGAGGAGGAGGTGCCTCCTGAGATGAAGGATGCCCTTGTGCTACCACTGTACAAGGGCAAAGGTAGCAAGCAATGTTGCACGAATTATCGTGGCATCAACTTGCTGAGTTGTGTAGGCAAGGTGATTGCCCGAATCCTGCTCAACCGCCTCGTCAATCAGGTTGTGGAACCTAACGTGGCGGAAGAGCAATGTGGATTCCGTTCGGGTCGCAGCACTATAGATATGGTGTTTGCGGCTCGTCAGTTGCAAGAGAAGTGCAGAGAACGACACCAGCCATTGTACTCGCTTTTTGTTGATTTCACCAAGGCATTTGATACGGTGAACCGCGAGGCATTGTGGCAGGTGTTGGGTATGTTTGGTTGCCCGCGTAAGTTTGTAAGTTTAATTGAATGTCTGCACAGTGGTATGCGAGCGAGGGTGCAGCTGATTGGGGAGACCTCGGATGACTTTGCAGTTGTCTCTGGTGTGATGCAAGGCTGTGTCCTAGCTCCTGCCCTGTTTAATATATATCTTCATGCAATGTTATCTTGTGCTTTTGATGTGGCTTGTGCTTACGGTGTTCGTGTGGAGCACCGTATTGATGTTGGGTTGCTGAACATCCGTCGTTTCGGTGCGAGAACTCTAGTCTGTGAGACAACTATCCGTATGTTGCTGTTTGCTGACGACTGTGCATTGTTTTCACACAGCGCGGATGAGTTGCAGCACATGACTAATGCTCTGGCTTCGACAGCGGCCAAATTCGGGCTCACCATCAACACAAGCAAACTATCTGTCTCTTTCAGCCTTCACCGGAAGTGCAAGCTTCAATATTGCCG